CTGATTCTGAGAGAGATGGCCTTCTGATATGCCTACTGGAGAGCTGCTGAGTGTCTTCCAGAGTTACTGAATGAACTGACTGAATTCATATTACTTAATACCAAACCATTAAACTTTAGAGACTTGAGCACCAAAGTTAATAATTTTAGTTTCTCTTGTAGTTAGCTATAGTAATATTTCCATGTTAACCATAATTAAAAATCAGGGTCAATGTCTTCATTTCACTGGTAGTAGAAAGTATTTGAAGGATTTTGAAAGGAATGTAAGTAATCTGCAAAATGGATTTTAATGGACTGAAAAAAGATTAGACAAGGAATTGAAAGGTGACTTCAAGAGTTTAAACAAGAGTTGATAGAGCCAAAGGTGTGGTCCTGGGTAAATGGTGGTGAAACAAACAAAAAATGTGACCACGAGAGGAAAAATAGGAAGAAAAAAAATGAATTTATTTTAGACACCGTTGTTCGCTTGAGAGGCACAGAGCTTCTCCAGATTTCTAAAACATTCCCATATAGATTTGAGATTATCCACGTACTGCTGACTGGTAGTCACAAAAGCTTACAGGTTAAGGCAGGAAGGAAGAGAAAGCCCAAGACACAATTCTGTGAACTAATTCTGTAACAATGTATCCATTGTTACAGAAAGACATCTTTCCTTTGTATTACAGTTCACTGGTAAAAGATACACTGGCCTTACTATAACTGACATTGTAAAGTTAGATACTGATTGCCTTGTTTGGCATTGTTTCCCTACTTCGAAAGACCTTGTGCCTAAGTTTTCTTTATTTATGAAGTGGCCAATCCAAATTCTGTTGAATGAAAGTATTTCAGTAACTTTGGCTGAGTTTTATGTGGCATAAAGGTTACATCACAAAATTACCACACATTTGGCACAACTGTTCAGAAAAATCTTTTATGCAAAAGGCCAAAATTAGCATATAAACGGGTGAAGAATGTAGTATGTTCTCTTTTTGTACCCAGGGAGTAATCTTTCTTTGTAGATACGTTGGCAAAATAATGCTTACATATAGGCCTACTTTGAAAATTAAAGCAACAAAGGAACTTTCCTTTTGGGAATAAAAAGTGTAGCTTTAAAGTAATTTTTTTCAAGTAAAATTTCTTGTCTTGAACGTCAATGAGATTCTTATATTGTTTACTGACAATAGTGAGCTGGCACACAATAGAGTGAAATATGAAGCCTTTATATGTACCAGAATTCTTTTGTGATGTTCTGCTATTGGATTACTAAATTTCAGAAACAAATTTATAAATAAAAGGTGCAGATCACTTTGGGGCATTTGTGATTTTTTTGTTCAGTAGAGGCAGCAGGTCGAGATGAAAAGGGCATGAAGTTAGGTATTGAGCAAATACAGCTCTGAATATTGCTCTGCCACTTACCGCCAGTGTGACTGTTTCAATTTGTTTATTTGTGAAATAGAGACAAGCACTTCTATGTTATAGGATTGTCGGATTAAATGAGGTCATGGATATAAAGTATGGAACAATATGATCATCACAAATATATTTTGGATAAAACGTGGAATAACTTGTGGATTATTTTTCTTTTACGTGTCAATAGAAAACATTCAATAATACATGACAAGTTAATTTGTAACAAAGCACAGACAATTTAGGAATCAAAACGTATTATACCCTTTTTAGCTCTTAAAATTCACCTCTTTATTATTCTGGAGAAAGTAACGTATATGACATGCTTCTGATCTACTGGCGTCCTCTTATTTTTTCATTTGGCTCTATTATGAAACAGCTTTGATTGCATGGGCCAAAGGTAAGAACACAGGTGGCTGCACAGATATTTCCAATGCACCATAAGGGATGGGAGAATACCACAAACTGCCACCATCCTAGTAGCCTTAGGATTTTGGAGACATCTGTTGGTTATGTTATTGGGAATAAAAATCTGCTCTTTCATGACAGCGGAAACATTTCTTTTCAAGGAGCCACTAGAGCATTAAGGAAGGCAATGTCCCTGAGAGATTGATAATAGGTCATTTAATCAACCATGTTTGAGAGCTGTCTTCTGCAAAACATTACTCTGTGCTGGGAGGCAGCGGTGGGGCTGTGGGGGCAGATTCATAGGGGCATGAATAGGCAGGGTCTCTTTAGTGAATACTATTTTCCTGATTTTCCAGGTGGTTCTAATTAAAGTAATGTTTAATTTGTTTACACCTGCATTATTTACAACTGTAACAAGAAATTGGTAACAAATTTATAGAATAAGCACAGATCATCTTTGGGTTCTGAGACTTTTCCTGCTTAGTATACCTTTCTAATACTGGATACCCTCTGTCTACACTATCCCTAGATAATCAGTTGCTATCTTATTTCTAAGGAGTTTTGCTGAAAGTTTGTTTATTAAACTAGAATTGCTACTTCCTAAATTCTGAGAATCTTGAGGGATGAGAAGGCTTCAAAATGCTACATGCCAATAGCACAATCATACTTTATCCCAACAAGGTAGAAACAAGGGAACATTTAAATATACCAATGTGGTCATAAAATCTAAATTTTAAAACAGCATATACAAAAGATGAAAAGAGGGAAACCATGAGAGAATATGACACTAGCAGATACCTGTAGGTCATGTTAAGAATAAATTTGGCACTGAAAACATGGTGGGACTATATAAAGGCATTTTAAGCTATTACTAGAACTGAAAGAAGACCAAAGAAGGGATAAGCTCAGTGTTAGCAGAAAAGGGTGACAGAGGAACACTGGTACTCTGCATTCCTGCTGAGTGGTTGTTTCTTTTTCCTGGAAAACTGCAATGCTGCACAGCACTCACCATTAATTAGGAGTAGTAGTTTCTTGGCTCTTGGTTGGGAGATTCCCTGGGGGAACAGGAGCTGCCAGATAGGTGTAGCCAGCACTGGGCAATTGACTGCTGAATTTAAGCTGGATAGGACCACTTTAGACTAATTCTGTCTTTTGCTAGCATCATTTAACCTCTATGCCTCCAGAACTGTGTTTGTGTGTAAATTTCATATTTTGATCAAATCTGAAATTTTGTTTTTCTTTGTGGAGATATACAATGTGCTTAAAAAGCACCCTATAGTTCTAAAACTGAATATTTTTCAAAACACGATCATATTTAAATTACTAGAGAGTTTACATGTTCTAAAATAAAAATGTAAAATAGTATTTTTATTTAGAATTTTCACAAAGAAATATTTCTTTTCCTGAGTGTCAATGAATTTTTCTATTTGAAGTACTGGTGACTCATACATTCAGTATATGAAATAGTTTTAGAAAGTCCATTTTCTTGTGTGATTCTTGACTCTTATTTTTGAATCTTAGTTGAAGGAACTCATGAGCTTTGTAGTCAGACCTGGCTTTAAGTTCCAGCTCCACTAGTTTCTGCATGTGTGTCTTTGGGCAAGTTATTTACACTTTATGTTTTATTTTCTTCATACTTAAAAAAAGTACAATAAAAGATAATAGACTTTTGATAGATGCAAAAACTTAGAGGAATTTCAAAGTCATCAAGCTGAGGGAAGAAAGCCAATCTCAAAAGGTTATGTATACTATATGATTCCATTTGTATGACATTCTTGAAAAGACAAAAATACAGTGACAGATACAGATCAGTGATTACCAGAGTTTAGCAGTCAGGGGTTTACATGTGTGACTATAAAAGGGTAGTATAAGGGAGGGTAATGGAGTGCTGGAGCTATTTTGTGTTTGATTGTAATGGTGGTTCCATGAATGTATACATGAATTAGAATTGATAGAAGTGTAGATTAAAAAAAAAAAGTAAATTTCACTATATGACAATTGAAAAAAAGAAAATTGAAAAATAAAACTTAACAGAGACAAAAAAGAGGTATGACAATACTAGGACTGTGGAGCAGTTGGTAAGATTAACTGAGATCATGTAATTGTGTGTGTGCATGTAAAGCACTTAGCACATCCACTGTTGGTGCTCAAAACCTGTAGCTCTCTCTTTACTTTTGCTTTTAGATGAGTTATTTACTCCCCCTACACCTCAAGCTCCTTATTCTTTCTTGAAAAAAGGAAAAAATAAATCACCCTGTATTTTGACATACAGCAGACAGTTTTTGTGTGAAGTTGGAAGATGCATTAAAGCACTTTTTTAAGATTTTTTGGGTAGATTTAATATACAGCAGGGATTTATCTCACCCAGTGGAATATTGCCTTCTAAGAAATCTCATGTGGTTGTTATGGGGATTAAATGAGGTAATGTATGTAAAGCATAGCGCATATAGTAAACACTCAATAAATGACAGCCAACTGGCATTGGAAGCAAATTCCAGTACGAGTCATATCCATATGACAGCATTGTGGAAAATAAATAAATGTCAATGTGTTATAAACTGTGAAGTATTATTTGAGTATCATATCATCATTATAGCTTATTTTCCTTTAAATTATGTGAATATATCCACTGCATCATCTATTTAGATTCCTCATAGTGATTTACCTTTAAAATAATACCTGTTTTAATATCATCATGTTTTTCCTTTGAAACAATTTGTGGTGCTGAAATAACATAAATAATGAACAATTTTTCTAAGCAGAAGGAAAAGCAAATTATTTTTTTCAGGGAGAGTGTCTGTCTTCCTCAGTGATAAATATTTCATTTAAAAAGCATTGGAAAACTTAATGAGAATTTTCATTGTGGGATTGTGACATGTTTCTCTCTTGGCCATTCCTTGATTTCTTTTATACTCTGCTATAAAATAAATTGTCCTAACCCTAAGGATAGGTAAACCATCTTCTTCTTGAATTACAGTGATGTCTATTTCAAAGCCAAGGTTTAAAAATATTCCTTTAGATCTATCATGCTTAGCATAAAAAATGTAAATAAAAGCAAGATCTTTTTTTTAAAAAAGTAGCTTGTATGTCTTTACTATAAAAAAAAAATCAAGCTGTATTTTCAGAACACTGGAGAGCTTTCTGTGAGAGTTGGCAAATGCATCAAGGCATTGTTTGTAGATATCACTTTTGATAGGTTTGATGTACAGCATAGTTTTCCGCGCCAATGGAATATTGTCTTCTTACAAATCTCATCAGGCCAGCAGTGCTGCTGCCATGGGCTGGCTTATCAGCTCCAGCCAGAGTGTGCTGTACTTGCACGCACCTTCGTAGCCTGAGAGGAAAATAAATTGTACCCGAGCAGTTAATAAGAAAGAATTATTGTGAGTGAGATGCATGACATTATGAGTGAGCATCATGTTTTACAGACTAAATGTTGATTTGCTGAAGGAGAAAAAAAAGCCCTTCCTGTACATAAAGTCAGAATTTTATTTCAGAATTATTAAAAAGTATTTGCTGGTTTCGAAGTTTAAGAAGTAAATATTATCTATTTTTGCTGTTTTGGGATAGTACTGAAGAGGTAATTCCCATTTTCTGTGGTTTGCTAATGGACATTTTTATCCATTCCAACTATTTAATTTTTTTAATGAAATAGATATACAGTACCTGTAGGTGCATAGAATGTATGTTTTAAAGCACCAGACATATGAATATGATCTCCAGTAGCATGTCAATTGCTTATCGGGAATCAAAGGTCTTTATTAAATTTTGTACTTGTTTGGGTTAGCATTTCCATTGCCAAAGGATTTGTACTTGAAGAGCATAAATAGTTATATTTAGGAGAGGTTAACTACTAATATAAAGTATGATCTTTGCTGAAAGGGGAAATGAAGACTTAATCCTTCTATTGTAATTAGGCCCCAGAAGTTTGTTGATCACAAGGAGGTGAAATAGCTTGTGTAAGGCTATAGAACTATTATGTAGAGGAACTGGACTTCAGGCTGAGAGGTGTCCAGTTCCACTCAGAAAATGCATGTTTTGGCTGGGCACAGTGGCTCACATCTGTAATCCCAGCACTTTGGGAGGCCGAGGCAGGCAGATCACAAAGTCAAGGGATCGAGACCATCCTGGCCAACATGGTGAAACCCCGTGTCTATTAAAAATACAAAAATTAGCTGGGTGTGGTGTTGTGCACCTGTAGTCCCAGCTATTCAGGAGGCTGAGGCAGGAAAATAGCTTGAACCTGGGAGGCGGAGGTTGCAGTGAGCCGATCAGGCCACTGCACTCCAGCCTGGTGGCAAGTGAGACTCCATCTTAAAAGAAAAAAAAAAAAAAAAACACATATTTTGAATTAATTTTGCTTACTCTATCTATATTTAGAAACAAGATATCTGGTAAAATAGTATTATTTTCTGTACCAAATCAATCCTAAATATTTAGTAGCTTAACCAGATACAAATAAAAATTTCTTGCCTATTAACAGTCTGGTGTGGATCTCCCTTGTTTATGAACAGCTTTCTTCTACCTGGTGATTCAGGAACCCAAGTATCTTTACCTTGTGGCTCCACTATCCCTTAGGGGCCTAAAGTCCTTAACAGTCATCTGAGAATGGGGAGAGAGTTACTAGAGAAGAAATGCCTGACTTAACATCCCTGGCCTGGAAGAGATGCCGTTCCTGCTATTGTATTGGTGAGAGTTAGTCAGCACATCAGAATGTAAGGGAAACTGAGTGGGTAGGCAGAAGTTGTTAAGGCCTTACAATCCCAAAGTCTAGCCCACTGATGACCATCTATAGCCTCACTTCCTCAGGGATGAAGGAAGGATCATCACATGGAAAATGGCCAGAAGTCTCTGCCTACCACTGTGGAAACCTCAGCTTTCCTGGAACATCTAGTGAAACTTTGGGGTCATGTGTGAACATGTTGAAGAGATTTTTAAATTTATTACTAATTTAATAATCAAAATATGAAGGAGAAATTTTGTGTTCATAAAGAAATTAACAGCAGAGTAGAAATAGAAAAAATAGACAAGGGGTGAATGCTTAGTTGGAAGCCTCTTAAGGCAGTGACTCTCAAACTTTACTAGGAATACAACTTCACTGGGGTGTTTGTTAAAAAGGAAAGATTTCTGGATCCCACCTCCTAGAGAAACTGATTCTGTTGATCTAAGGTTCAGTCTGAAAACTGCATTTTTTACAAACATGTTAAGTGATTTCACTTGAAGGTAATACAAGCACCACACTTTGAGAAAAAAACTGCTGTAGGGCAATGGTTTAACAAAAATAGGTAGCCTGTAAGCTATAAAGGGTTCAGAAGGGAAGCCCCTTACTCAAGATAAAACTTGTCGGAGTTGGCTTCTAGTGTCTGGATTGGAGTTTAGGGAAGCTCTGCTTTTAAAGATTTTCCCCACATGAGTCTGGAGCACATTGTGTTTAGAAACCACTGTCCTAAGTCTTATGCCCATCCCCCCGCCATCTGGGAGACCAGGCCTTGGCAGTCTCAAATTTTAAAATTTAAAAAGGTCTGCCTATTAGAAAGTAATCTGAGAAGGTGCCACCTCAGAACTTCTTCTCTCTTTTCTCTCCAATGCTAGAGCAGCATGGCTTTTCTTAATTTGTGTAGATAATAAGGAATATGGTTTTGTTTTTGTGAAAAGCTGAATTTTTTTTTTCTGAACCTTCGTAAAAGCATTAACACTCACCATGTAATGAAATATGCTTTTATTTGAAGACAGAAAATGAAGGAAAGAAATAAACAATAATTAAATCCCCTAAATAATGCGAGCTTTGTGGTTAAATCTCCATGCGACTCCTTGAAAATTTAATAAGGGAATAAAGGCTATTTTCCATTTGTGTAATACAGTGCCACATTTCTCTTCTCTATGAAATTGTCTCTGGTGAAAGTGTGCCTCACAATTTAGAGTATCTAGCTTGAGAGAATTTTATGCTTCTATTTTTTAACTCAAGTCACTCATGTACAACCACATTATCTCACATCATAGTAGGATATAAAACCAGGAGACTAGGTGAGGGGAAAAAAGTCAGGGATGAATGTCATATTATACGATCCAATTACACACAGTCCCTGACTTACATATGCCTGACTTATAAACGTCCTTGCATTTACAAATGGGTTCTCCAGGGAGCGCCAGCTGAATTCTTCATTTCTTTCACCGCTTTTCTTACTGCTGCATTCATAGGTGCAGTGCTTTCGAGGGCATGACAGAGGTCTGTACCTGTCAGGCTCTTACTGCTGCCCCTATCTTCACACCTGACAGGTTTTTTTGTTTGTTTGTTTTAAACACAGTACTCACATTAGAAGCAATGATAACTAGGATAAAAAAGCAGAAACCTAAGGGGGAAAAAACCATGCAAACTTCATTCTAACCTTATTTCTTACAGCTCTTTCCCTTTCCTTGGCCATTATAGTGCCTTTTTGCTTAAAAAATAAAAAACAAAAAACAAAAATGAAATAGTGTGTTTACTTTTGCCAACTGCCCGCTTCTCATGTCTGTGCGTCACCCAGATCCTCTCTCAGGTTCTGGGCATTGTATCACTTGTGATCTAGAGTTGGACCTGCCCCACTGATGTACAAAAAGCACGGGGAGAGGAAGGAAGTGTAGTGAGTGCTCCCACTGGGGGAAAATGTGCTATGAACAGCTCATGCTGGAACTTGAAATATACTTTTCTATAGAAACAATGATTTGTATGATGGCTATCATCCATCCTATTTTGGATGCTGTGAATCTATATTCTGATTTTAATAAGATATTGATAGCTATTTTTGGAGACTAATCACAATGTATGTACCACCTTCTGATTAATAACTTGCTTAGAGAGTTGGTGAATGAATGAATTGAAATTAAAAAATGAATTCAAAGTTCCTGTGTTTAACATAGTAGGCAATTATTATTTATTTCTGTTTTCTGTGATTTTTTTTTCATATAGAAAAAAGTTCTAAAAATTCCAAATGACCGACTCCCAAATAAACGTTTGAAACATGTCTATCTAGTAGGTTTATCAACTTATCTTTTAGGTCAGGCCTGTCACCCACAGTGCCTGCTGAGTTCGGCATGGTCCATGTGGAATCAGGACTGAATTGTCAATTTTCTGACAATTCATCGGTTGACTGGGAGTTATGGCATGCTGTAGTACAAAAAGCTTTCTTTAAAACAGCTGAGATGAACCCATGAGATTATTTTTTTCACAAAAATGTGAACTAAGACACCATTATTAATCAGTAAAGTTTGCTGGAGCTGAGGTACATGGTAACCGGTTGAGGCCAGCAGCAATCCTGGGCACTACTTAGGGGGAGCCTGGCTGAGGGGATTGCTGAGAGAGAAGAGATGATGCAGGCAGTGTTCTAGAGAGAAGCACAGGCAGGTTCCGTGGGGCTGCTGAGGGATGAGTCTTGAACACCTTTGGTTCAAGACTTTCCAAGTCTAAGTTCCTATTTTTCTGGGATCTGACTATATTTTGCCTTAATTCTTGGAGCAAGAACTTATGGTTTCTTCCTATTCTATGTGCCTCTTTCCCCTCGGCCCTGTTCTTTGTGACTAGAAGAAGTCTGACTCAAGTCAAGAGGTCTGACTCAAGAGGACTTGTACTGTGTTTTATTTTTAGTTCACCACTTTTCCTGGAGTCTCCTGATGCAATAACTTACAGACTCATCGATAGTGCAATTGGTGAATCTGTGTTAATTATGTGATTGATAAAATGCCCAATGTTAAAGCTAGAAATCACTAGAAAGAATACATACCTTCCTTTTAAAATTGTGCCTTGATTGTCCCCATTCATTTAAGAAGCAGCACTCTTTCCAGAGCTCACGTTGATTTCACAATCCTAGAAAACCATGTCTATGTGCCCTTAAGAAAATCCTTGAGTTCTCAAACTTTGCTGTAGTAGATCTTATAGGTAGATTTGAAATTAGGAAAATTAGGTTGGCAAAATGAAGACAGAATCTTAAATTTGTAATAAGGTTGAATGAACAAACATATTTCTAAGAGTGTATGGCATTATACATCAGCTTTTATTTTGTTATTGTTGAAGTGGAAAAGGTTACCTTACTTCATATCTCTTTCCATTTCTTTTTTGGTTTGTTTTATCTTGAGTCAACAAGTGAATCTCTAAATAATACATTGATTTTAAAGCCACAGCTTCTCCTGGAGACCTGGTGCTGTGGTGTTTTGGAGTCAGGCATGAATGTAAGCTCATGTTGA